GGTGGTGGTTTAACGCCACGGGGTCTAGGACGCAAACCACAGTCAACGACTTGGGAGTCCAGCGACATAGCCATTACGCTAACTGCTGGTCCCATTGCCTACTCTTTACATAAAGAAAGTGCTTGCCAAATCCTGGGGTTTTTTCTGTTTTGTTTTGTTTTGTTTTTTCATAATTTTTCAGAGATTTTTTTTCAAGCCTCTACTATAAGGTAACTTTTAAAAAATAACCTTTCCTAGGGCTGGCTTCATGGCTTAGTGATTAAGGTAACCGAATCCCACATGGCCAACCCTGACAATTTGAGTCTCAGACCTGGTGGCTTAAGAAATATGCTGGACCTGTGTGCACGCATGCCCGGAATCCTGAAAGGAGGGAAAGATGGCGGGGAAAGGATTGCAGTGTGACCCTTCCCCACAGGGGGTGCTTTCTCCTCTCCTCCTCTGGCAGACGCACAAGCCCTCTATCTAAAAAGGAGAAGCAGACAGGAAGGGAGAGAAGGAAAAAAATAATAATCTTTTCTGATTTTTTTTAGAAATGTCTGGCAGATTAATGAATCATCTATTTTTGTTCTCTTTTCTTTCGAAAAATAATTCATAGAAAAGAGCTACAAAGAGAAACTTGCTGACATTATTTTATCTTGTTTTCTTTTCCTTTTTTTTTTTTTTTTAATTTGTATTCCTTTTACCTAAATGAGAGTGTATTTTATAGATACTGTTGTATTCTGCCTTTTAAAAAATTTACTATAGGACATGTGTGCTCACTGGAGAGAGATGCTGGGGCGCGGGAGAATGAAAAAGCACTTCTCATAGGTGTGGGTGATGGCCACACTACAATCTGTCTCCATTTGCCTCTCAGGATTTTGGGCATGTACGCGCATGATATGCCCGGCATGTTTTGCAAGCCACCAAGTCCAGTGCTTGACCCTCACAGCCAACCATGTGGGATCTAGCCTTGAGAGAGAGATTTTTGCTATAGGACATGTGCTCTTGCCAGAGAGACAAAGAGAGACAGAAAGTAAGAAATCTCCTAGGAAACATGGCAACACTGCAGTACCCTTCCTCCATTCTCCTCTTGGGATTTTGGGCATGCACACACAAGCGCCTGGTGTGAGTTTCAAGCCACTGGGTCCAGGACTCAAACCATAGTCAATCATGTGAGAGTCGAGCGCCTTAACAACTATGCCACTTGCTGGTCCCTGTGGTCACCCAGTATTCTATCATGTGGCTATACCATTACCATTCTGCTGTGAAGTGATTTTTTAAAATACCGATTCCATAATAATATACTGTGAAATAGAACTATTCCTTTAACATCACCCAGAGACCTTACTAAACAATCTAAGCATTTCTCTGCAAAATTTCCTGGAATGACAATCTCCTCAGACTTATCCTAATTGTCAGCTTTATATTTTATCTTATTTCCCTGTATCCTAGTATTTTTTCTTTTTTCAGTATAGTGCCACACATTTGATGATTTGTAAGTAGTATGACACCTTTAGTCATTTCTCCTGCTTCTGAAAGACGTGTTCCAATTTTGAGCAAGTTATTTTGCGTGCTGTTGGTTTTCGTAATGGGTTTGCTCGTGTAGTTTAATTGCCTTTGACATACATTTTGTGTTCACAGGCTCTGAGTTTTGTGGGTGCATGTCATCATTTCTTGTTCTTTCTGTTAGATGACCCTTGGTGTCCTCAAGAGGACAAAGTAAGGCAATGCCTTTTATCTTCTAATCGTGGGTGTCTATTACCTGTTTTGTTTTTTCTCCTTTATATGTTCCGTGTTTGCTTCCACTTGACTCAGATCACAAATTCTTTGAAGACAGATTTGTTCACTACCCAGCACATCTTTATTGCTTAAATTACACATTGGGTAAGGTCGTTGAAAGACTTGGGAAAGAAAATATTCCTCTTTTTATTATCTGCTTTTAATTTTAAAATTTTTGATCTTTTAATTTTTATCTTAGATACTCATTCCAGTTTTCCTGATGGTGAACAGATAGGTCCTGAAGACCTCAGCTTCAATACTGACGAAAGCAGTGGAAGGTAATTGCCAAATCAAGAGAGCCTACTTGCAAGCTACCTTGACCCTGACGATTGCTGTAGTTGGTGCTCAGATTTGTCATCAGTCAGATAATCAGATTTGGTTTTATTTTTTGGTCTTCTCTACCTGAAACATTAATTTGGAAATTGTTAGAATATAACACCAGTCTAGTCAAAGTAGTACACGGAGGGAAATTGAGAGTGTTGGAAGAATTCTTTGTAAGTAATGAAATAATAAGTGCAGTCCTCATTTAATTTAGTAAATTAGTACAGTCACAAAATGCAGTTTGTCTGCTACGACAGAAGGCCAATTGAACTGCCAGAAAATGTACCTAGAGACAGTGCATGCACTTAGTAACCTCCTAGACGAGCTCTTCTGTTGCGTTTAAATGACCATCTTTATGTTTTTGGGTTTTAATCAGTTTATACTTTCATCAGTGCTTGTAGATTAGCAAGCAGAAGAATTGCTGATTACTAGATCCTGTCCTATAGACTCTTTGTGTGAATAACTGAAGTAACACTAGACAGAATCTCCTCTTTGGAGTATTTTGACTGACTAAAGTTAATTTATCTTTTCTCTCTTATGTAAGTGCAGGCACACCGTTTAACGTCCCATCATTTGTGTGTGTGTGACTGAACGAATGTCATTTTAAATGAATTAGGTTATTGTGGGTTGGTTATGCTCTTGGTCATGTAGAGACATATAGGACCATTTGAAGTTATTTTTTCTGTCTCTTACTCTAGAACTACAGCGCAACAAATATTTAAGAACCCTCTTAATTATTTTAATTAATTGGGCATTGTCTGTACATTTAAAGATTCATCTATATTACAAAGTGCTTACATATAAAGTGACAGGGTGATAAAAGTTTTTCTTTCCTACTCATAACTAACCCAGACTAGTTGCCAAACTTTGTCATTGTGCTCCCGCATTTGTGTTCGAGCTGCTATATACTCGTGAAAATCACACTGAAGGTTGACTAGGAGACTATTGAAAAGCATGAATGACTATATTACATGTGAGAGACATCTCTTCTGCTTATATTTTACTTCATGAATATTGTTCATTTTCCACACCTGATGTCTTGCAGAATGCTGTGATCATAGTTTACTTTTGTTCAAAATAGTTTGCACTTTTGTTAATAAAATGAACTTGAGAAAATATGCCTCCTCAATTTATTAAAAGTGAGACCAGAACCCTTTTTGCTGCTCCTTCTGCCTGTGGCTGTTTAGCAGTGTGGACAAGCTCACATTTGATTAGTTTGTTTTGCGATGACTGGTCATGGGCAGCTTCTAGCTCAGCTATTCTAGAATCATAGTAAACTTGAAAGACCAAAGGATTTCTTCGGTGCTGATAGCTTTTCGTTCAGAGCGATTCACTTTTAGTAGTAGTCTTTGTAAAGCGTAATCCCTTCCCCAGTTCTTAGCCATCTTACATACTAAATCTGTACCCAGTTCCTCGGTGAAAACAGGAATACATATGTTTTTCTCTTTTCTGTTTTTTTTTTTCTTTGTTTTTCATGTAAGAGTGTGCAAAAAGGAGGGAGGGAGGGAGGAAAGAAGGCAGCTGCCCTCAAGAAGTCCTTGTGCAGCTCTCCTCTTCCCCAGCCCTCCAGCTTTTCAGGATCTTGGGCACCAGCCTGTCTCCTCCCCACTCCACCTCACCCCGGCATGGTTCAGGTCAACCCGGGACCCAAACATTCTCAGGCCTCCCTCTCCCTTGCTGTAGTTCTCTGCCTGGGCTACGCTAGGTTTCAAGAATCAGTTGCTCTACTCGGCTTGTCCTACTTTTTTTTTTTTTTTTAACCTTTCCTCTTCTGCTGAAGGGCATAGTTTATCTTATTCTTTTTATATTACTTTGCTTTAGTGTTTAGTATTTTTATCTGAAGTTTATTCCTAGAAAATCTCCCTCTTATTTTTTTTTCTTTGAGAGTTGTTTTTTTTTTTGGTTTTTTGTTTGTTTTTTTTGTTTGTTTTTTGCTATAGGACACATGCACTCGCCAGAAAGACAGAGAGACAGAAAGCAAGAAATCACCCCCGGGGGGGGATGGCCACACCGCAATCCCTTCTCCTCCATTCTCCTCTCGGGGTCTTGGTACACGCATGCACATGCGCCCGGCGTGAGTTTAAGCGACCTGGTCCAGGATTCGAACCGTGGTCGGCTACATGGGAGTTCAGTGACATAGCCATTAGCTAACTGCTGATCCCGAAAATCTCCTCTTAATAAGGTTTCTCAGGCCAGCTGGTGGTGTCATGGTTAAGGTGGCTGAATCCCACATGGCTGACAGCACACCCCACACCCCACAACATGAAAAACACACCAGGCACATGTGTGCATGTGTCCAAAATTCTGAGAGGAGAATGGAGGAGAAGCAATTGTGGCATGACCTCCATGTTAGGTACTTACATGCCCTCCCCACCACCCCTCACAGAAGCGCACATAACCCTCTGGCAAAATTTTAAAAAATAAGATTTTCTCTTAGAACTAAAGCTGTAGTAGTAATGCTTGCACAGTAGTCCCCCACTGTCCACAGTGTTGCTTTCTATGGTTTCAGTTACCTACATCCAGCACAGTCTGAAAATATTACATGGAAAATTCCAGAAATAAACAATTCATAAGTTTTAAATTGCTCACTGTATGGGGTAGCTTGAAGAATCCCCATTCCATCCCGCCAGGATATGAATCATCCGTTAGTCCAACATATACATGCTGTATACACCACCCACCCATTAGTCACTTAGTAGCTGTCTCGATTATCAGATCAAGAAAACGTGGCATATAATGTTCAGTACTCTGCACGGTTTCAGACATCTACAGCGGGTCTTGGAATGTGTCCTCCTGCAGGTGGTGGACTGTCGTATTGTGCAGTAGCATGTCATTTCTGGGCAACCTGACCCTATGTTGTTGAATCCTTAAATACCGGGTCGCCAGGAAAGTCATGACATATTTTTCTATGTTTTTTCATACAAAAATGCATTTTGAATTTTCCAACGACCCAGTAACTTTTGAGATAGGTGGGCTGTATGTTGTGCCCACGTGGCACGGGAGCCTGACGTTCAGGGGAGTTGTGCGATTCTCTTAAGGTTCAGACACCACCAGCAAAGACGGGATGGATTGTTGGTCTAGTGCTTTCTCCAGTTTATACTTGAACCAAGCCCAGCATTATGGTACCTAGTAATTAAAAACCTAAAGAACATCCTATTTTCTAACTTTTTATTTTGAGATAATTTTAGATTTGCAGAAAAGTTGTAAAAGTTGAGAAGTTCCCATATATCCTTGCCCAGCATCTCCTTTTTCTTCTTGACTTACATAATCATAGAACAGTGATCCAGATTAAGAATTCACCCGTGGGGCTGGCTCCGTGGCACAGCATTAATGCTCTACCCACGGAAGCCGGATCGCACGTGGCCCCCGTGGTTCTCATCCTCAGCTGAGTCAGCCTGAGACACTCCAGGTGTGCACAGGAATACCCAAGACCCACCAGCTGGCGAAGTTGAAGGGGTTCAAGCATGACCAGACTGGTGGGGGGGTGCTTCTCTCTCAGTTCTCTCTCTCTCAATCACTGTCTCATATATGCACTCTATCATGAATAAAGAAAAAAAATCTTGATTACTATTAACTACAGAATTCGTTCACACTTCACCTGGTATTTTACTGATATCCTTTTTCTGTTCTAGGATCCAGGCCAGGATCCCATATTGCATTTTGTTACCATGATTTTTTTCAGTTTTTGCTACAGGGCACATGTCAGAGACAGGGAAAGAGAGAAATCACCCCTGGAAGGGGGATAGCCACACTGCGGTCCCTTCATTCTCCTCTCAGGAATCTGGGCACAGAAGCATATACATTAAGCCACTGGATCCGGGGCTCAAACCACACAGTAGGCCATGTGGGATCTAGCGCATTAACCTCCTTGCTACATGCTGGCCCTATTATATTTTCTTAGTATCTTCCAGTCTTTGATATTATAACCTTGACATTTTTGAAGAGGCTAGTTATTTCATGGAATATTCTATTTGGGTTTTCTGATGGTTTCCGTAATCCCCCCTTTTTCCTAATTGTCAGAGGGTGTATACACTCATCCAAAGAGTGGATTCCCATTTCTCCATCCTGTTGGGATTTTCGGGCCTGTACACTATATGCCCTGCTTATTTTTTAAGCCACCAGGGTTGGGATTCAAACTATTGACCATGTGGGATCTAAGCCCTAACCACTAAACTTCATGTTATTTTTTTAATTGCCAGAGGTCACTTGTGCTCACCAGGAAGAAGGGGAGAAAGTATTCCATGACAAGGTGTAGTCGTGCAACGATCCCTTCTCCATTTCTCCATCGCATTGCGATTTCAGATACACGTACACACATGCCAGGCCAGGCATGTTTTTCAAATTGCTGGGGCCAGGATTCAAACTACAGTGGGTCCTATGGGTCTGGCTCCCGTAACCACTAGTCTTTTTCTGTTAAATTGAGGTTATGTGGGCCAGCTTATTACTTGGTGTTTAAGGGAGCCAAGTACCATTCAAGTCCTAGACCCAGCATCTTGAAAAATACATGGGCCACGTGTGCGTACGTGCCCGAAATCCTGAAAGGAAGGAGAGGCGAAGGGGAAGGGACTGTGACCATTCCCTGTGGTGGTGTGCTTTCGTCCTCTCTCTGGCAAGTGCATGCACACTGCAGCATAATTTTTTTAAAACCTGAGTTCATGCATTACTTAGAAGACTACTGTAAACATAATGTACCTTCCCCCGCCCCCAATTTCCTGCAGGGTGTTCACACCCACTAAGGGGTGAGAGAAAGACAAAGATAGAAAAGGAAAGAAATGGGGCAAGCAAATGGTGCAGCAGTTATGTCGCTGGACTCCCACATAGCGGACAACAGTTCGAGTGCTAGACCTGGTGCGTTATGTGCCCCAAATCCCAGCAGGAGAATGGAGGAGAAGGCATTGCGGCATGGCCATCCCCCCTGGGGGGTGATTTCTCACTTTCTCTCTCACCGTCTTTGTCTCTGTGGCAACCGCACGTGCTCTAAGGAGAAAACCTCTTTAAAAAAAAAAAAAAAAAAAAAAAGGAAAGTAAGAAAGCACCTTGGCTACACCACAGTCCCTTCTCTACCACTCTTTCAAGATTTGGGGCACGCACGCACGCACATGCACCCTGTGTGTTTTTCAAGCTGCCAGGTCTGGAACTCAAACCATGGAATTGAGCCATTTCAAACTGCCACGTCACCGGCCATGATACCTTTCTCTAGTATCTAGGAGGATGTTGATATTTATTATTTGTGTTGTTAAGCTGGACTGCTTGGTTATGGTGGGGTCTACCAGGGTTTGTTTTTTGTTTTTGTTTTTGTTTTTTTTTACAATAAATGTACTATTTTTTATCAATACCAACTATTTGGGACAGATCATTTGAGACTATGTAGATTCCCTGTTTCTGCTAAATTCTTACCCACTAATTTTAGTGCCCATTGG